CCTTCCTTCCTTCCTTCCTTCCTTCCTTCCTTCCTTCCTTCCTTCCTCCCTCCCTCCCTCCCTCCCTCCCCTCCCTCCTTCCCTCCTTCCCTCCTTCTCTCCTTCCTTCCTTCCCTCCTTTCTTCCTTCCCCTCTTCCTTCCCCCCTTCCTACCCACCTTCCTCCCTTCCTTCCTTCCTCCCTTCCTCCCTATCTCTTCCTTTCTCTTCCTTTCTCTTTCCTTCACTTCATTTCTTTTACTTTTTAGTATTATTTTTTTTGCAATGGAATTTCTTTACAGTTTTCAAATTTAAACATTTTTTTTTCCTAAGAGACAGGCAGCTCAGATGTTTCTTTTTACAGGTGTCTCTAAATGTATCAAGTTTCTTATGAGACATGAGAAAGCTATTACTGTCCTTATCTTATCTGTGAATTGTTACTGATATGCCAGAAATCACATTAATATTAAGAGCAGAAACACAAACAACATCTCTACCTGATTTGTTTTAAGCCTGAAGTTTATAGGTCATGCTTTATTTCAGGAACACATGGTAATTTGCAAAATCTGTTTGGCATCCTGGTTTTATATCACTGCTGTGTTTCTGTTCCAAATACAGCTAACATTAAACCAACCTATATAAACTCTCAGTAATATATACATCATAACTGCCAAGAAGTTTTCTTAATAGCATGCCCTTACCAGACTCTGGCATTCTAACCCTTCTGACTTCACTTAGCAGTGGAAGTTAACTTACTAAGTCTTTGTTTTACTTACATCCATTCTGTTGATGTTTTAAGTTTTTGAAAAGAACTTTTTCAAATCAGAGGTTTGAATGTAAAACCTAGAGTAAATACGTAACAAATATTATGACTGGAGATGATTTGGGATAGGCATGTTCAACCTGTGGCCTGTGGGTTAAACACATCCTGGGACAGCTACTAATTAGCTCCACCCCCTGCCCTGCACCATCATGACAGCAGGTTTTCCCCACTGAGTGGCCCAGCTTGGCCCAGGCACATACCCATTACTCAGCAACAACTGAGTGAGCAACAACTGAAGCACTGGTGCAAGACAATCCTTCTCCATTTAATGTGGGCCAGGAAAGCCAAAATAGTGGATGTTCATGGTTTAGGAGATGATCTCATGAGGACAGAGATAAATTAGAACATGGAGAAGGTGAAATTACTGAATGTTTTCTTTGTTTCTGCTAAGAGTGGAAGTCAGAAATCCCAGACTCAGGTGATAAGAAAGAGAGCCTGGGAAAAAGAAGACATTCTCTTGATAAAGGAAGATCTGGTCAGATATCATCTAGGCAAACTCAACGCACACAAATCCATGGGCCACAATGGGATGCACATGAGAGTTCTGAGGGAGCTGGCAAAAGTGGCTGTCAGGTTGATCTCTATCATCTTTGAAAAGTCACGTAGAACAGGAGAGCAACAAAGAAAGTACAGGTACAGTCAGAGGAAGATGTTAGGCTGACAGAACTTTTGTGAAATGCCTGGTCACAAGGGTTGTCAAGCATTTTATCGTATGAGTTACCAGACCAGAAGTCCAGTAGAAAAAGATAAGCTGTGAACTTTAACAGCTAAACTAATACAAAGTCTTATTTAAGCTGGTGATAGAATTTAGAATTGATATAAAAAAAAAAAAATATACTGGAAAAATAAACAGTTTAGTTGGTAAGAGAATGCAATGGTGTGTAGTTCTTTGCGGACTAAAGGCAACCAGGCTGGCAGCCAGTCACTATTGGGATGCATTTTGAGGCCAGTTCTCTTTAGTGCTCTTTTAAAATGACCTAGATACAGTACTTGAAGGTATTCTGGATAAGTCTGAAGAAAACATTACATTTGGAAGAGCTCCCTCAAGAGCAGAGAGGCCTTGCAGAGAGATCTTCGCAAATTAGAGGTCTGTGCAATCACCAATCATATGAAGTTTGATAAGAGCAAGTACCATATTCTGCACCTGAAACATGTCAACTCCGGATATATGTACAGAGTGGGAGAAAAGAGGCTGGAGAGCAGCCCTGTGGAACAGGGATCTGGGAGCTGTGGTGACAGCAAGAGGAACATGAGCCGGCAGTGTGCCCTGGCAGCCCAAAGGGCAACTGTACCTGGGGTGCAGCAGGCCCTGCACTGCCAGCGGGTGAGGGGAGGGGCTGTCTGCTCTGCTCTGTGCTGTGCAGCCTCACCTACAGCACTGGGTGCAGCACCGGGCTTCACAATGTAAGAGGAACATAAAACCATTAGAGAGCATCCATAGGAAGGTTTCAAAAGAGGGCAAGGTGTATGAAGAGTAGCTGAGGTCCTTTGGTTTCTTGATCCCAGAGTAGAGGAGGCTGAGGCCTGATGGCGGCTGCAGCTCCTCGCAGGGAGCAGAGGGGCAGCGCTGAGCTCTGCTCTGTGTGACAGCGGCAGGGAACAGTGGAGAGTCGAGTTGAATATCAGGAAAAGGTTCTTCACCAGCGAGTGGAGGACATGGAACAAGCTCGCCAGGGCAGTGGTAATGGTCCCAAGCTGCCAGAGTTCAAGAAGCATTTGGACAAATTTTGGGTTGTCCTGTGTGGAGCCAGGGGTTGGACTCAATGATCTCTGAGGGTCCTTTCATTCTTGAGATATTCTATGATTCTATAGCTACCTTAAGAATAAGAATTGTTTGTAATGAGACTACATACCCAATTGACAGTTCTGACATCCTTCTGAACAAGGCACACAGTCTTCAGTATCAGGATCTTCCAATTCACCTGAATTTTGAAAGAAACAAATTTTTTGTTAATACTGGTAATGAAAGGCCACTGTGTGTAAGCACTCAGCAAGGCTCTTGGAAACAGATTTTATACAAATCCAAAAATCAGAAAGATGTGCAGGAATTTATTTTCTCACTTTTTCTTTTGTAAGAAAAAAAAAAAAGTTTTCCTACTCAATTTGAGGAAAAGATTTCAATTTTTCATTTGCACAGATTTAGAAGAGATTCAGAACAGGAGTTAAGGAGCTCAGGATCAGATGTGATTGTGTATTTCAAAGCAGGAATCAAAAACTGTATTTCTGTAACAGTTTGAAATGAGTATTTTTCCCTTCTACTGAAGGATGCTTACCTTCTCTACAGCTATGCTTCTGACATATATTTTGGTTAAGATAGTATCCTCTGGTACATCTTTTGCAGTGTCTAGTATTCAGGCACACTTCACAGTGACTAGAGCAGGGCACACAGGTGTGCTCTGAATGGTAGTGACCTGGGGGACAACTTTCTCTGCACTCCCCACGGTACAGAAAACGCTCCATCCCTCGTCTATCTGTGCCACAAAGAAACAGAGAAGATGTCAGCAGCACAGGACATTTGACAGTAGAAGCAGTATTAAGCCACCAGTGCTTTGGGTGATGGTGAATTAGTATTGAAGACTCCATGATGTGTTCAATTTTACACGAGATGAACTAAAATTTACAAAACTTTCAGGATCTCAGATATTGCACACTCTTGGAGATCTGTGACATAAAAATGTTATTCTAGTGAATCATCGCTGTTTACATCCTCCAATATAATCAAATAAGGATCAAGAGATTTCCAATACTTGGTTCCCAAAATTCCTCTGCAGCAAACATAGTAGAAGGATTTGTACTATATTGCACAAGTAGATGTAAAATCACCATTATGAAAGCAAATCTGCCCACTTCACCTTTTAAAAGGATCAGTCTGTTTCCATAGTAGATTAAAATGTAATCCTCATCCTAGTCACAGCTAAGCTCTGGAAATGTTTTGATTTTAATCGGAGTAGCAAGTGTGCATCTGTTTGCTATCAGAGAAACAGAAATTTCTACTGCATGGGAACTCAGCAAAGTCTGCGGAAGCACCTGTAGCTCAATGTGCCATGTACTGCAACATGCAAATTCTACTCTAGAGTAAAAATTGCATATATAATTGTGCTAAGTGTATTTTATTACTTATGTATAAAGTCGCCTAGGTATTCACTTGTCATTATTTATTTTTGAGGCTTCAGAGAAAGGAATTGCAATAGGGAATAGTTATTGTACCACACAAGAACGACACAGACTGTGTCCCTTTTACATTTCAGGTACAAATATCCACAGTGATCTTTCTAGCTTCTTCAGAGTGTGAATTTCTTTGAGATCTTCACTTCTTGACACAGAAATACAGAAATTATATTACTGTTCACCACAGGCTTAGACTTGGGGAAGAATAATAGAAACTGCTCTGTCATGTAGAAGAATTGTTTGAAAACACGGTCTATTCACTTATAGGTGCAGATCCCAAAGCAAGAGCATCAATCTCATCAGTATGTCTAATTAGTACCAATTATGCTAGTGTTTTCTCATATCCTGGGCACTTATTACCAAACAAATCCTGGGGCATTAAGGACTCACAGTGTACTTCAAGAAGCAGCAAAAAAGGAAAAAAGGAGGTGAATTCCAAGTCATCCTGAAATTACAAATTTCTTTTTCCTAAATGAATTGGAGGTTAAATTCCCAATACTCATCTCCAGGAGTTTCTTGCTATTTGCATATAGCCTCAAGTTCTTTACCCATCAGGCATTAGAGAGGTGACAGGGAATACTCATTTTTATACTGTAGACAATATTGGATCTTCACAAGGAGAAGAGTAGCTTTTTAGAACAACTACATAGTTAATTACATTACTTTCTGTCTCAACTTAAGCTCTGTAGAACTGTCAAAAAGACAAATTACTGTGTCAGTGGCTTTTTTTCTAGGCCCTATTTCTGTAGCTGTAGAGACACAGTAGTAGAAATCGCCATGATGGTTTCCTAGCCTTCTCCAAAACATGTTTTGGAAAGCACCTCATCTCTCTGCATGATTGTGCAACAGGTTTGCCCTATTTCAGTGAAGCACATGCTTTGTAGAGGCTGGGAGAGGTTTCCTCATTTTGTAGAAGCAACTTATGTAGGGCTTCTGTCCCTTTTTCAGTTGTTAATACTTTGACTTCTATTACCACAGATCCTATTCAAAACATACAGAGGGGACTGAGTAAGGATGTAAGTACAATGCAGAGATGTGTTTTCTTACATTCTTTAAAAAGCAAACAAAGAAACAAACAACCAAAAAAGCTTTTAAGCTCCAGCACTCGTCAGTGTTAAAACATGATAATGATGCAGACCAGTAGAAAAGTGATGTTTATTTCACTGGCTTTAACAACTGGCTTTGACAGCAGAGGGGAAAGGAAACCTGAATGCCAAGCAAAGGGAAAAAAAAAAGGCAAGATATCTTTCTCACCTGTTCCACAAGCAGTGCATTTGTTAGGTTCACTTCCACTGCAGTCCTGGCAGGTATGATGGCACAAATGACATTGCTTTTTGAATTCAAACTTTCCCCTGGGGCATTGCATAACACAACGACCGTTGTCAAAGAATCTTTTGAGGAACAGAGAGGCATAATTAAAATTCAGCTGCAACTTTTTCTTTACGTTTAAAAGAAACTTACAAGAAAAACAAGATATTCTTCCTTTATTCTATTATAGGTGTCTTCACTTCACTCCTTCATTTTCCCAATCGTATTCACGGTACTTGCTGAGGAAAAGGTCAATCAAGTTTGGACTTCAGGAATGAGTTGGAATATTTTCCTAGAAAAATTAGCCTTTGGTCTTAGACCTAAACGTCACTCTACCACAATCTCTGAAGTGGTCACTTATGTCTGTGGAAATTAAGACTAACTAGGTCTTTCTCTGTGAAGGAATGATCTATCATCTGTTGAAGTTTCCAATTAGTTTTGCTTTGAAGGCTTGTTGCGAACTGAACTGTGGCTTCAGTACATTGACTTTGCATATGAAATCAAGTGAGACCTAGCAGTTAGGAGATGTTGTTTTTTACTTGCATGTCTGCAGATATTTAGTGGTTTTGCTACTAAATGTCCTGCTGCATAACAAAATATCTGCTGCAGTATTCTTTTTTGTGATAAAAATTTCTAGTCCATTTTTAACACTATTCAGTTTCTTCTGGTTTTATTTCGAGTGAAAAGAAGAAAAACATCAATGCCAACATAACTATTAAAAGACTGTAAAACAAGTAGGCTAGAATTTGAAAGTGCTTTCAGAATTGAAAAAATTAGAGAGAAGAGAACTCTCCCACTCTCAACTGCTTTTGCCCTTGATTAGTTTGCTTTTGAGGGCTTGGGACTCAATTTCCAGAGAAACTGAGAATAGTTCAGGATCTCAGAACAAATACTGAATCCATCTGTCTTTCTGTACACTTCCAGGAACTCTCCATAAGATGTTACATACTTCCTAGGAGCAAGGCAGTGTCACTGAAAATGTCTGTAATACACCTTCATGGATTTGAATTGCTACGGTCAATGTAAGACTTAATCTGGAAGAAGAGGAGAAAAACATCAATACTGTCAAATAATTTTTTAAACTGCTTTGGATTTACCGTGACTGGAAATGCCCAGGCTTATGAAATGTGAATTTAGAAGAATATCTCATCCTGCATAAAACATTTCTAAAAAGCATGAGGCTTGTCAGTATCTGAGAGAACTACAGAACTGATTAAATAGACTTGTGAGGTAGAAGGCAGGCTGCTGCACAGAAACAGGGAGAAGTTCTTATGGATGTACAGAATATTCTGCAAAGATATCACTCTGCTCTGGGGTCTGATGGGCAGAAAGTCCTGTGCAGACTGTAGTACACAGAGGTCTATTGGTGCTGTTGAAGATGGGTATTCAGATCTTGAAGTGGATTGCATTCTACACTGCTTGTTTTCTGTGCAAATGGGGTGCCATGACAGAAGTACAGGAGGTAGCTGGGCTATGTCACCTTGATCATGTGTTCTAATGGTGGCACCAGGATCTTGAGTCCTGGGTGCTTGGGGAGGAGCTAAGGATTTTTGCAAACTGTACGTTGGGGCTTGTGCTGCTATATACAGGAAGGAAACCTGCTTTTTACACAAGTGATAGGACATAGTAGGAGATGGTTTTAAATTAAAGAGGGGAGATTTAGATTAGATATCTCAGGGAAGTTTCTCACTTGAGAGAATTGTAAGGTGCCAGAACGGGTTGACTAGAGGACTTGTGTGGTGTGAGACTTGAGTTCCTTTCCAACCCAAATTATTCTATGGTTCTACAGTTTTTACCCCACACCAGGCTGCCTGTGCTCTGGTCAGGACTTTTCTGGAGGCAGCCCAGGTCACTGGTAATCCCAGCACCTGCAGGGTTCATGCCTGGAGTTAAATCCTTTAGTTTAGACATGCTTTGGACCTGTTAATTCCCTCCAAAGCCTTAGTTTGACCCCAGTTTGGCTGTGTTCTTGAAAAGCAAATCCATGCTCCTATGGAGAAAGTGGGGCGCTGGGGTCTGTAGCAGAGGTGGCTTGTCCTTCCAGGATGGGGCTTAGAGATGTCCCAGAGATATTTGAGATCAGGCTGGACAGGGACCTGAGCACCCTGATCTAGCTTTTGATGTCCCTGTTTGCTGTAGGGAAGTTGAACCAGGTGATCTTTAAGGATCCCTTGCAACTCAGATGATTGTATGATTCTATGACATGTAAGTACTACAGTGTTTTCTCACATACTTTGGTTTTAAGGATAACATGTTCACAAAAGAAAAGAAAAGGTACATTTTTCTTGCTTTTTGCTATATTGTTCCTAGTGACAAACACCAAAAGGTGAGAGCTTGTCACTAACCTTTGTAACTGAAACAAATATGCAGGAAGAGGAGGAATTTTATGAAGATACTTTTTTTTGTGTGGACAAAAGATGCAATAGAACTATTGCATAATTTTTGAAAAGAGGTAATAGCATTATGAATTTTCAGACAAGAAAATGATCTAACAGTGATTTTTAATATGAAATAATATGATAACTCCAGCTGAAATTTCAGTAATTACTCCCTACCCCCCCTTTTTTTTTTCAAAGAGGACAGGTGTTCCAGGACTGTTGGATTTTAGTCTGTATTATCTAATGGCCTCTCATTACTATTTTCAATAGGCACTATTGAAGGCTGTAAAGAGCTACAAGATTTACAGTGCTGTTTCAGTTCAACTGGTCTATTTCAAGTAACTAACAAATAATGTTCATTGGAAGGATCTTTTCTTTAGCTTCTGGTTCCATCCCATAATGATTTCCCATCATTGTTCTTTCTTTTAATAGTGTCTGTCCAGCACAACTTCTAATGGCTTATGGTAATGTGCAGAAGGAACGCAGGGAGCCCTTGAAAACCTTAAGTAAAAAGATTGAAATCTGCTGGAACAGCAGTATCCCTCCAAAAGGCCATAAAGACCTTTTTTTCTTTGCTTCAACATCTTTACCTAATGGCATTTCAACTAGTTTGTTCTGCACCTTCTTTGTTTTACAGATATCTCTGAGTAAAACTCACAAATGACACTGTAGGAATTGCAAGGAAACAAAGACAGTCTACTTTAATGCATTTGGAAAAATCCAATCCTGGGTCCAAAATTCTGCCCCAAATCCTATTATAATTCCATGTCTGAATTAATACAAATTAAATTCACACTGCTTCCTCAGTGATGAATTTGTTTGGACTTCACTGTTTTCTTATGGCCTTAGCATAGACAATTGTACTGCATATCGTAGCATTGTTGAGGACAATTTTCCTGTGCCTTACAGGGCCAGATTCTGATTTCCTACTAATTCAATATCAGCTGACTGTAGCGCAAGGGAGCCAGAGTCACTGATGTGAGGTCAGAGCTATTGACAGAAAATGAGTATGAAAACAGGAGGCTCCTGTTCTTCAGGAAAAGCTTTGCTCTAGATCTACACACTCCTCATGAGAAGTTATAAAAGTAAGCACCAGGGACATATGAGTGCTACGAGCATCTCCTAGATTTATTGATTGATAGCTTCAATGCCCATGTTTCACTCCTTGTTCCAATCCAGTAGGTATGCAAAACTGCAGATCCCCCAGACTTTTGCTGGTTAGCTTGTCATTCTATGATTACCACAGCTACAATTTTGAATGGATGGCAATTAAAAGAAGACTGTTTCATGTTAAAATAACATATTTTTTTTTTGTCAGTGGGAATAATCTGGTTCAACAAGGAACGCCTTGTGTAGCCAGCTGTCTTGTTTACATAATACTTGTCTTCTCAGCTTCTAGGCTTGGTTGTTTACCACGATCATCATGCTTTTTCTGCAGGCCAGTGCTGATGTGAGCTCTTTGTGTTGCACGCTGTTAGGTGACACATACCTTGTTCTAGGGCAGCTGATGCAGTCATCCACCTCAGGTCCAGTGCACTTCTGACAGGATGCTTCACACAACTGACATTCCTGAGAATCATCAAGATATTCGTCTGGTGGAAAAAGAGATTGTTTATTTCAAACCCATATCTTTCATTTTAAAAGAAAGCAAAATAACAAACTACCAATCCATGCTGGTAAACTTCATGACTAAAAGAAATTAGATCCCCTTCGAATTACTGAAATGAGCGAATTTCCCTTCAGTATCAGAAAAACAAATATTATTTGTTTTATTTGTTTTACCCTTATTTATTTGTTGGTTTGGTTTGTTGGTTTTTTGGTTTGGTTTTTTGTTTTTTGGTTTGTTTTTTTTTTGGGGGGGGGGGGGGGAGTGAGGTTGGTTTTACTTTTATTTTTATTTTCCATATCAACCTGACAGAGAGTGATTCTTCAGGTTGACACTATTACTTTAGCACCAATAACAGTGCTACATAGGAGCATTCATTACCTAATTTTCATTTGTGTAGCTCCAATGTGCTCCTGATTGTGAGTTGAGACATAAACAGTGTATTCTCATGCATGTGAGGTATGTTATATGTGGAGAAAGACCTGAATATACTACATTAGTCAGACATGCTGGTGCTACCCAATCTCTAGCTATAGCACCTTTGTTTCCCTCTCATACCACTGTTCCAATACTCAGCTCCGAAAGACCAAGGCTCTTCTTCAGATTGAAAATTTGGTGCCCAAGTGCACACCTGGGCTCGAGGAAAATAAACAAACAAACAAACAAATAAATACAGTATGAATGGTTGCCTAAAAACTGAGATTTAGATAAAAACCACTTCAGGAACATGAATACCATGATATTACTTAGAGAGCTGAGGTGAAAAGTCTGTCTTTTATTTAGTGTATATTCTTTGAAGAATTGTTACTAACTAGTAAGCTATACTTTCCATAAATCTCACAGTAGAGATATTCATTTCTTTCAACCCAAGCCATTCTATGATTCTATGATTTGGTAATTGACATGAATACTAGATCTGCATATAACATAATGTGGGGACTGCAAATGGGTTTATCAAGAAGCTTAAAAAAACCACAAGATTGGGTGTTTTATGTCAGTCTCTTGTAGGAAAATTTATTCTAATTGAGCCTGTATGTTGGGTAGAACTGGTTGTCCCTGCATTCTTAAATAATGGAAAAGGTTGTACAGAGTCCTGTATAATACATAAATCTTGCAATTTCTGTGTTTACTTTAATATTGAGAAATTCTTCACTTGCACTGCACTTGGAAACACAGATTTGCTATAAACTATGAATTGTAGGAGTCAAAATACAAATGTGTAGTGAGTTGGCTTGAGTTCTCAAGTTGCAACGAGTTCCTTGTATTGAAAAACAACAGCACTGTCTGAGCAAATATTGCTGGATAAAACAACATAGGAAAGAAGTAATTTATAACAAACTTTTGGCTATTCTCTCTGTCCCTTGCCTTTTCTACTTCATGTTAATCTGCATTAACAAAATTTATAATAGTTGATATCCCTGATACCAGATTTAAGCTGGGATAGTAATCATCATGCTTATGAAGACAGGAATGGTATAATTATGAAAGAAAATCATGCCAAAAACTGAAACAAAATGCGCCAACGCTGACGTACCCAAACTGTAGATACAGATGTAATTTTGATTTTGTAAAGGTTTATACATCTTCCTGGAGAAATGAATAAGGCAAAAAAAATGAGCCAAAAGCCAGTGATAGATAATGTACAACAAGAATATGGTGTTCCATAGAAGCTGGTCTGTGAAGTTTGGAGCTGGGAGCAAATGAACAGGCTTTTGAGATGACATAAACAAGTCTCTGTATTTTTTACATGTAAATGTGAGCATCAGACAAACATAGAACCTATATTATTTCTGCTGCTAATAGAAGTCGCCCACACTGCAAATTTGGTTACTCCTGCCAGAAGAGTAATAATACAACATGTTAGAAAGAGACTGACAGTGAGAGGGGTCTTGTGCTACCACAGCATACAGGCTGCAGCCTGCTGCCTAGTAGATCTTCAGGTCTCTGACAGCTTTCCTTGGCGAAGGTCTCTTGACGCTTAGTGATTTGTATTTAGAATCCCATGATCTCAAGCATCTTCATGAGATTTTAAAATATAATATGATGCTTATTGCAACAGAATGATAATCGACTTCTTCAGATATTTTCTTACAAGTTTTTTGCTAGACAGTGCACAAACATGAAAAAATGTAGTATCTGCAAAATATTCCTCTTGCGTGTCTGGTGGCTCAGTGCTTGATACTACTGACTTTATGTAGCTAGGAAATCTCTCTGTGCAATGCTTTTAAGTAATTTCTCATTCCATATTGTTTTCTGATTCATGCTAGAAAGGCATCTTGTTTCTTCAGTCTTGACTGCCTTCAGTTTATTTGCCCTTGCTGCCCTTGTGTTTATCTGTGGGACCTGAGACACTAATTCACACACCTTGACTATGCCTTGTTCAGCACTGGCTATATCCCTCCATTATGGTAAAAGCATGCTGAGTTTTAAAAGGCTTCTGCTATTTATTTGTTTCTTCTTTCACTGGAAGTTCTGTAATTCATTTTATCTGCCCTGGAATAGTGCCAGGAAGATAATTTCTCTGCTGAATTTTTTTTTTTTTTTTAATTGAAGCATTTCAAAGCATGTGATTATAAGAATGTGCATCACACGTTGCTTACACATTAGATACTCTGAACAGCAATTCACATCTAGAACAGCATGTCTGCCACTGAATGCTAAAATAATATTTTAATAAATGTGTTTTTATATAATATATCTATATAAATATATATTTTAATAAATATATTTATATAATATATTTTTTAAAATATATAATTATTCAAGGTGTTAAGACAGAAGGGCAACTTTGGAGAAGAATTTTAAACCACTCCACAGGGCAGTTTAACTGCCAGATTTCATTACAGATCTTGCTAGATAATACCACTTAATGAAGTCTTGTCACTTATTTTTCTTTCTTTCTTCTGTATTATTTCTTTTTTATCCCTCCAATGTATGCATTGGAGAAATACCACTGGCAAAGCATCCCATCTGTGCCTTAATTCAAGCAATAGTATTCAGCTACTTAACATCTTCCTAGATTTAGTTTTCATTTGTTTGTCAGTTCCTTGTCACATTGTTTAAAAACATTTATCACCTTTTTTAAGAGAAGGAAACTGAAAGTATTACAGGAATAAAATTACGTTAACAGAAACAATGCCTCAAAACTGGAAGACTTCTGTGTAGAATTTCACGTATCTGTAGTTATAGTTGTCAGTTTATTGGAATGATGACAGATTTTAGGCTGTGCCTTAACAGTATACTTACATGAAATTCCTGTCAGGTGGTACAGTGCATTTTAAAATGAGGTAAAAATGATTATCTCCCATTCTGGAGGCACAAACACTGAATTGCAGCAAAGCTCATCAAGTTAGGTTAAGAATGTAGTAGCAAACCAGAGCCTGTCTCTCCTGAGTCCCAGATTAAAGTAAAGTCACTATTTCCAGGCTGTCGCTACTTCTTTGCTTCAGTACACAGCTCTTGTCTAGTCATTATTTCCCTCTCACTTTCCAAAATCTACCATTTGTTGGCAACACATGGAGAATAATTGGGTGAGGGTGTGAATATCCTTGTTGCATGTTAATCACCGTTCTTAAATAAAAAATTGCTGTATTGTCAGTGACCCTTCTTTATAACGAACTCATAAGCAACCCTGTTTTGTCCTTTTCTTGGTTACTTATATGGAAATCTGTACAAATATTTTGTTACTGGGCTTTTCTATGCAGTCTTAAGGGTTAAAAATGTCCCACAGAGCAAATAAAGACATACTGATTTGCATTAATTTTGACAAATTGGTAGGGAGAAGCTAGAGAATTCAGTCATTAGAAAAGTTTTGCTCTTCCTGTGTTTACCTTGACACTTTTTATTTTGGCTGGCAGATACGACCAACTTCTTGAGTTTTGTTAAAGAAAAGTTTATGCATTAAACTTAATACCATGAGGGACTAAGACTAAACTGTTCGCATGAAGCCATTAAAATCCATCTGGAGGATTCCTCTTAGAGTTATCCCTCACCTTCCAAACCCTTAACACTGGATAGGTTACTGCTACCTGAAAGAAATCCGAACTTCATCTTGAAAGTGTTATGCCACAGATCCTGTGACATTTAATTTCCTCTCCAGATTTTCGTTAGTCCTACAAAGCTTGAGCCTCATTTCCAGTTCTGATACTTTGGACTTCAGCTTTCAGCCTCCTGCTACTTAGTATTCTCCAATCATTTTTCACAATGACCACATTTCCATCTTCTTGTCTGAGTGAGCAGAAGGGACAAGAGAGAGATCTTTTAGGAACAGAACTTTTGGGTGATATGATCTGAGGCACTGAAAGGGGCTTGGAAGCCTTCAATAAGGATGCACATGGAGGTGGGGATGCTGGCTGTTCAGCCATTGCTGCCCCTTGCTGCCAAGGGATGAGGCAGGATCCTGGAAAGGGTTCAGGAATCTCTTTCCTGAACAGTGTGTGGAGCTGAGTGTGATATCATGGTTTTCATATGGAAGGCCTTTTTGTTTTCTGATTAGCTGATATCACAGAGAGCCTCAGGTTAGCTTTAATCATGATAGGCAGGAGTGAAGCAACTGGCATTATCAACTATCCTATCTCGCATAGCTCTCTCTTTTTCCCAGCTGAATAAAAATATTTAAATCGGCCAAAGCTGCCTCTTTAACTGACACAAAGGGATTTATTCCTTCTTTTTGTGTGCATCAGTTTGTGCCTGTGCATGTGTGTATTTCTTACCTCATTTCTATGTATTATATAATGGTTGTTAGAAGCCCATTGAAGAGCCAAAGCTGTCAGGTATACTAAGAAGGCCTAAGTACGCACCAGAAGGATATTTTCTGTATTTTAAAAACCAGCTCTAAATGCCTGTTGGTGCTAGTAATAATGTGGATGCCTGGACATGAAAGCTGACAAGGGTTTCTCCCTTGACTTGTGTAAGCATAAACATGGGAGCCTGGCACGGTTTTCTGCTACTCACCTGCAACGTGGAATTTGACAACCCCTTGAAAAA